ATAGATAAGGTCCCGATAGTCAACAATATTTTTCTCACAAGAATGGAAAACATTCAAAGTGTCAGCATCTTCGAATTATGGATGAGAATAACTCTTGTCCACATAAGCATAAATAACTCGAATGAAATAAGTTGTAGCCCAAGTATAAAGAAAATGTCCAGGAAATGAATGTGAAGTCGACCCAAAGTCCGGTTTGACTGGTAGTTCGACGTTCGTGTAAGTCCTCTATAAATGCTTGCTAAAATAGGAGGAACTAGGCTGTAAGTGTACCCGCCTGCCATTCTAGAAGACGCTTTAAAAGTTCTAACTCTTATACATTCGTCCATAGATGGAAGAACCAAACGACAAAGCCACATGGAGAGATTACTAGTTCATTTTCTTCTTCTATGGACAAAGATATTGACAAATTGCCCTAATGATGCCGATCTCTACGAAAAATATCTCGCAATTTGTCTACCACCATGGTCCTCTATACTTCCTTTGATATTCTTTGATGACACCTCTTGAATAGATTTAAATTCATAGCATTTTTATAATTTTTATTTTGTTGAAAATTCTAGGCAAACCTTTCTCGTTAAATAAAAAATTAATCCAATCTTCATGATTGACACAATCAGATTCAATCACATTGACAATCAACGCGAAAACATTAAAGAGGTACAGACAGAACCTAGGAAGGTGATCCGTCAACTCTAAAAGGCTTGGGATTAATTTTTCACAATAGTAACCCATGATTGAAAGGCCACTTCTCTCATGGATATCCCAAAGAAAAATGTCTATTTCACCATTGGTGGTCACAAAAATATTGGTTTTTGAACACCAAACTTCACAAAGAGCTTTGTAGATAGAGTTTGGACAATGATAATTTTTTTGTAGCAGAGCTCACTACAGAAGTTAACTCACAAAGATTCCTCTTGAGCAGAAGTTTTTAGACCCATGAAGACCACTCCCAAAACTTTAAAAAAAAAAAGAAATCTCTCCGTGATTGACAAATGCACTTTCCCATCGTATTTCTTTATTGTCAAACCTCTCACAAATTATAGCCATTGGGATGCACTCCATACTATAGGAAAGATGAGGCAGAAGACACGGAAACAGAAAATAACTACTAGAGTGGTTGGACTTGACAGCTTCTAATTTCTCGTAATATTCACTAATGATGGGCATATCTCCAACAAATGCTCAAAGAGGTTAGGAGAAGGATCTATCATTGGCTTATGAATGCTAAATTTATGTTCACCTCATATGCCAGACTAGGAATGGTACTTCACATCTATATCTTTGAAATGAAGGTAACTTTAATCTTGATTTTTAAGCTTAAATATTTCGTGTATATCAGAGTACATTCTATCATTAGAGTTTCTTCCAGCCATTCATTAAAAAACAAAAAAAAACAAAAACAAAAACAAAGAGAGAGAAAATTAGCAAACAAAAAAAATGGACAATAAATCCTTTAAATTCGTTTATTGAATATAATTACAAGTCTCCCAAATATGCAAATGGCTTCTACATAAAATGTCTTGGACGATCGAATGAGCCGGTCCTTGGTCTTCAACATAAAGTGCCTTAAACAGTCGAAGAAATCGATCATTGATCCTCAACATGAAATGCTTTGGACAGTCGAAGGAGTCGATCCTTAACACAAAGCGCATTGAACGGTCGAAGAAGTTGGTCCTTGATTCTCAACACAAAGTATCATGGACGGTCGAATGAGCCAATTCTTGACCATCAACATAAAGTGTCGTGGACAGTCAAAAGAGACGGTCCTTAGTCCTCAACATGAAGTGACATGGAAAGGTGAAAGGTAACAGTCCTTGGTCCTCAATACGCACGAAAAAAAGTTTTAAATTTTGAGTTTGTTAATAAGCAAATATTTTCTCAACTCTTAAAATAATTATAGCACGAAAATTTAATATCTACACGAAGAAAATCTCAAACCTCAAAATTCTTGACTTGCCTCGAAAGTTGAATCCCTAGAAAAAAAAAAGGAGAATGTTAGCTTCAATTTTATAACATCCACACTTAAAAAAAAAGCGCGATATAATAATAATAATAATAATAATAATAATAATAATAATAATAATAATAATAATAATAATAATAATAAAATTCAACACAAAATTAGAAAAAAAAGTTAAAATAAAATGATAATTCATGAAAAATATGAACTAGAACAAGAAGAAAGAAAGAGACACAGACAGACAAAAAGTTTAAAAAAAAGAAAGAAAGAAACTTGAAAGTTGACGTTAAAATGTATATGTATATGTATGTGTGTGTGTGTATTTCTCCATGAGGGAATGATATTTTTACTATTTCAAGAAACGACGTGGTCCTTACTCGTTAACCCAGATTATCTAAATTCTCAGTTGTGATTAATCCCCAATTGTGTCATTCACTTATTAGACCTTAATATCCTTTGTTTCTTTGCAAATTACCATCCTGCAAGGATTACTCAAATCGTTAGCCCTTGTTTGATTCCCAATTTGGGGATAAAATGCATTAAGAATAGTAGTTTTTTGGAAAGTGTGTGGTTAAAAAGTATGGAATTTTTTTTTGAAATACGTGTATAATTATTTTATAGAAAAATGTATGGTTGAAAATAAGTTTTGAAAAAATGCATTCTTGAAAAAATGGGGCTCAAGAGAGTTGATGCAGTCCGAGCTCCTATGTGAAATCAATGGTCTTGCAAAACACTGTCCCTACAGTCATTGGTACATATTTACCTCATAGGTTTTCTGATCGTTCATGGTAATTATTCTTCCTTCTTGACCTGTTTTATTTGTCATTTGTTCATGTCCTTCAGAAGAGAGGAGGAGCTTTATGACACCCAAACAAGCTATCCTGGTAGATGAGGCTCAGAAGTTAGAAATTTTTGAAAATGAAAGTTCCAACTAAGGGCAATGGTGGTCCTTCTTTGGCTAGTCAAACTTAGTCTTTAGGCTTGTCCAGTTTAGATCCTCTACCTATTCCGATATCGAATTCTCATTCGAGGTCAAGCCATATGCCTCCGTCTCTTCCTCATGTTTCTTCAATCCCTCTTTCCACCCAGACAGATTTGAGCACTTTCTACCCTGATTTGCCAAGGCCTAATCTGAAGAGACTTCATGGCAGACGTCCTAAATTTTTTGTGTATTTTCTTCGGCCATAGTCCCCTTCTAGAGACATGATGACAACCCTTCCCTCTCCAGTTCATCACTCTATTAACCTTCTTACGTGGAGCTAGACCGAAGCTGAAAATGGCTTTTCCATTTTATAAACAATTAACCAAGTAAAAACTCTATTATGCAAGTACAACAAAAATAATCTAGGAAGCACTAATTGTCACATCATAATGACTATGTATCACGAAACAAAACCATTAATTTATGTATTATGTAAGAGTATATGAATTTTGAATAAGGAATTATTTTATAAATTTAGAAAATTATTAATTTTAGCATGTTATTCCTAAGTCAGGGCTGATGAAAAAAATATTATTAACCTAGATTATTAATTTATGAGGATTAAATTATTTAAATTATATATATTTCATTTAGACATTGTTAGTTAAGAAAAAATGACTGCTTTTCGATCAATATATTTGAAGCAAATTAAGATTTTACGTGCTTTCCATAGATTCATACCCAATTGCATTAGCCTTTAGGCTTTAGGTCTATAACTAGCTAATCGTTATATTGAAAATTCCAATACTCTAAATGGATGATTTGTTACGTGTTGTCATACTTGGCCAACTTACTTGGGCCTATGGCCCACTCAATCCAAACCACGTGGTACTCTAACCCAGTAGCATGTATGTTCGAGGCCCTTCATGTCGATGCCCATATACCAAGGTCTGTGAAGATAGCCGAAACCCTACAGTGGAAGTACTATGTGAGTGGCAGAAGCCCTGAATCCGAAGCCGAAGCAGAAGCCTCCGAACCATGAAGGAGTGTCTTCCATGATCACTTCTTCCAAGAGATCTTCTACATAAAGATCTTGTTTGAATGATTGATGGAATGTTTATCATAAGAGCACATGTCAAGTCTTGTCAGTAGCATGTGGGTTCTGTGTAAGCAATGAATGCGTAGCAAACTAACAAGTCAAGGATGATGCCTAGGATTGGATGTTTGGATTAAAGAGATGAGGCCACGTGCCACCTCATTCAATGGCTATCATTTCACATGTACCACTATAAATACTTCCCTTGTGTAACATTAAAGGGCTAATGCAAGAATCAATACAAGAAACCACACTTTACTCTCTTTTTCATATTATCTTACAACACAATACGAGTTCATACATATTTACATGCACATTCATGAGCACCGATTGGTAATTATTGTACAGTCGGATTAAGAACGTCCTGTCGAATTCTGAACGTTCTCATCCCGAGTCGTTGAGCTACTTCCACGCCCTTGATTCTTTCGTCCTAGACCGTCCACGTGTCTTAGCGTGTAGAATCTTCGCTCACGTGTGCGCGGGTGAGTTCGGCATCTGTTGACGACATTTTTTGGGGTCAACATGATTAATAGAGAAAATTAGGCATAAATTTAAGACGTTGGGATAATCCATATTTGAATATGAAGATTCCTATTTATGGTTAACTTTGGTATGGAAGAGACACAATATACACGAATAAAGGGTATTGAGTTACAGAAAAAATACGAAGCTCGCAATATGAGAATAGTGTTCAAAATTACATTAAAAGTTTCATTAATTTTGGAAGACACTAAGTATGAACTTTTTTAGTAAGAGAGAAGAAGTGTTGTCCATTGAATTTTTGACACATGACCTTATCGTAATGGCTCACTAGTCAAGTTTGAAGGCATCATCCCAGTTGTCATAGGCCTATGACCACCAGAGCAGCTAACCTATGTTATAAAAGCAAAATAAAAAGTAAACTGAAAAGTTAATTGAGCGTATCTACTATTGGTTACCAAATCTGTCAAACATACATAGTATCTCTTTACTGAGTGTCCTTTGGCCTATGTGATATTTGTAAAAGATGCTATTCATAGGACATGCCAACCACCTTAAAGATACATAGCAACATGAGATGGCACCTCATCTCAGAAGTGCCACTTCGAATGAATGGTATCACTTTGGACAAGGTATCCAAATCATCTCGTACAATTATCCAATCATTTCAAAGAGAGGTGTCAGGATGAGGTGAAGTGGAGTATGGATCTTAGTCTCTTGCTCTGTCTTTGTGTTAGGTCTAAATGTGTTATTGGCAATTCTGTGAACAAAATGGGTTTAATCGTACGTTTGTAAAGGTTAGGGACTCAATTGAACATTCTTGTAAAAGTCAAGGACTTGAGGTGCAATTTTGTATAGATGAGGTAAATTAGTGTTTGATTCGTTAAAGGAGTCCAAGATATCCAAGAAGATCACATAAGATCATCGGAATGCAATTGGAAGTCTAAAAGATATCAAAGAGCCACACAAATTATGTTTTGGATTTTCAGTCTTCACTTGGAACACATTTTACACATAGAAAAAGTTGGAATTTGGACAAGGCTATTTCTAGAAGAATTGTAGCCCTTTGAGTTACCTATTCAAAAAAACTTAAATCACCTCAATCGGATATCAGGAGAGAAAGTTATAATAAAAATACTAACGACTACTCAGCAGTCGCTCGACTTTCGCTCGACCCTCGCTCGAGCGATAATAACAGAATGGGTCTCGCTAGAGTTTCGACCCACCCT